ATTGCAATGACAATGTCTTCCCAGAATTTGAATCTACCCACTCTGATGGCACTGAACATGGTGCTTGATGGAGCCTAAACAACTGAGGAAAACCAGATTAAGGCACAATTTCCTGGATTTTAGAGAAAAACATTCCAATGCAACCACCTGGCTTTTAAGATTCAACTTTCTTTGGAAAACGAGCATAACTGTTCTCATCACCTGTACAATGTGGGGCACATAGGCGTGATTAGAAATGTTCGTCTAATGTGGTAATGCATTTACGTATATATGGTAGTCTAAGGAGTTGAGATTACCAAAAGGCTCACTCTATTTAGTTTTATCTAGCTATTTAGCAGACAAAAGTAAATGAATCCAGCATGCCTCCTAAGCTATCAAACCAATCTCTTAATTCCAAAGCACCCAAATGTGTTTTATTTTTCTCCTTTTCTTTTTTAATGCAGGTCAGCAACTCCAATAATATCACCTGGTAAAGAAGTCAGGTCCTTTTAAAGTTAATGTTCACATGACTTCAGAAATCTAGTTCTCATTTTAATTTAAAACAGAATTATTTTCTGTCTGTCTCTTTCTCTTCTCTTTCAGGGACTTTTCCTATTTGAAAGCAGTCAAGTGTGTGTTATCATTATGCTGGCAGTTTCTGAATGATTTTGGAAAAGATCAAAGTCTTTTGTTAATTGCTAAGTATAAGATATTTAATCATTTCGTTGTAATTTATTGGGTGAAAATAGAATATGACAGCCTCCTCAAAATTAATATAATGATAATAAGCAGATAAAATAGCAAAATATAATATTTCCAAATATTAAATCAACATAGATTGTGTAAGAGCTTCTTAAACTCAGTAACTTTCTTTCCTTTCCACTTTTGAGATTGCAAAATTTGTTCATTTGACCCTAAGAAGAAAATTTGCAGATAAATACCTCTTTGTTGGATCAATTGCTCCACAATAGAAAGAGGATATTATTTTGCTCTTCACAAAAGCAAGGGCTATTTTGTTGAACAATAAGTTATTTCACCAGGAGTTCTTTTTCTCCTGCTGTCAGCAGTCAGGAAATGGTTGACTGGGAATATTTTACACGTCCTCTGCTTTCTTGTATTTTCAGTTTTGATATTTGAATCTATGTAAGTAAAAACAAACTCACCACAGTATACTCAATCTCAAGGGGATTTCCATTTTTCCTTACCAGAAACTTTTAATGAAAGTTTGGACTAATGTCTTAAAAAATGGGTTTTGATCCACTTAGTTTTGTGGTTTGATGGTTGGATAGTTGCTGTATTTGACGTCTGTAGGGATTTATCTAGGTCAGGCAGTGGTTGGCTCTTAGTATTTCTCCCATTGGTTGATCTTGGAGCACTGAGGAGACAAAGAAACAGACATTTATAAAGAAACTGACCGTTCATTTCCTACAGCCTTGCCTCCATGATTCAGAGATTTTCAGGCCTTTAATCTTAATTCTCATGTTCCTTATGGTGATAATGATAGTATTTATCTCAGAGGGTGGTTTTAAGGATTAAATTAGATTATGTATAAAAGCAGTTAGCTCAATACCTGCAACTTGTTAAATACTCAGTAAAGGTTAAGTACTATTATTAATAATATTTTGAACAATACCTTTTTGTTTTATACCATTATAAATTATAATTTCCTGCATATTTTCACATCTATTATTTCAGATACTTCAAGCTGGAGGAAAAATTTGTTCTCTGCTGGGATTATTTAATTGGTTCAGACTTGAATGTAGAAAAATGAGTTAAATACTACAAAGCATTAATTAATGGAAATGAAAAAAGTAACATTTCAATTTAACTGGAGTTCTCTACTTTTAACTTGCAGGAGAAAGAATAAAATGACGAAATATGCTTAGAGAAATGCACTAAAGGTAAGACAGATTTATTCAGTACTGCTCTATTCACATCCTTATTCAAAAAACTAGTCAATGCAAATCATTGTTTACAATAAATGTTGAAAAGTTAATCCACTTTTTCATTCAGCCATCACTCTTGAATACTTACTGTGTGCCGCATGTTGGAGGGTCCTAAATGATCAAAGGTACATATAATTATGTCCATTTTTCTCAGCTGTTAAGCTAGAAAGGTATTTCTTTAAATGTTTCAATAATGAAAGCTAATCTAAAAGTATTTTCAAGATATCCTTATTTAATGAGAAATGAAATTAACAAGAAGTTTCCTCTATCTTCAAAATTCTAAAAGAGGTTCTTTTGTAATTAGGGCATAAAACAGGGTTTTCATTAAGTGAATGTAGTGTAGATTTTTTTTTAGAACAATCTTATTTTAATTAAGAAGCAATTCTTTTAACACTGTAGAATCAGGCTACGTCATACCTAAAATAATAGCAGAACACTCAAAAGATAAACACTGAGATAGAGAAATGGTTTCTGTAAATATGAAACTGTGCAAACTATTTTGTAATTAATTTTAAAAATAGCCTTACTGATATTTATACATTTGAATAACTGCCTTCTCTTTCAAAGCAATCATCTTAAAAAACACTAATTAAATTTGAATGATTCAGATATTATTCCAAATTGTATTTGGACATCTTTCAAAGAATTAAGCATATTACATTAAAAAAAATTCTCATTTGTGGCAAATTTTTACTTTAAGCTCAAAGTAATCTGCAGCTAACATTTAAAAATAATATATAGCTAATATATGTTTTATAGTTGAGGGATATTCAGAATACTTTAAAAATAGAGTAATATTACAAATATTCATCTCTTTTTTGCCTATATTTTAAAATATTTTTCATGTTTAATTTTTAATTTCTCTGTGATTTATGTTGCATGGCAAAACTTTAGCATCCTCCTCCTATATTGTTATTTTCTGCACTCAAGAGAGTTTGTTAAATGAGTTTTCCTTTTCCTATTAGTTTAAAATGCTGAATGTATTAGAGACTTTGGGAGGAAACTGTCCAGCTCATGATGGTCACATTTCTCTGAAAACTGCCCCCTAAGCCATGGAAGTGAACCACTGTGTCTTGATGGCCTGTACGAATCATATTTCTCCTGGGAATTTGAAATTGGAACTGAGAGATAGGTGAGCCCTGTATGTGCCTGAAACAGAGAACATCTAAATGGGACCTGAGGGCGCCTGTATGCTCAGAGAAGGAGGTCTGTAGAAAGAAGAGAGGAAAGCAGATGGGCACAGAAAAACAGTGGCGAGAGGCCATATGGTGGGAGTTAGAGGAGAGGGATAGAGTAAGAGTCCCTCAGTTCCAGTCACTGTGAAGTCTCTGCTTTGGGGTGTCAGAAGAGTAGGCTACTGGTAAAATTTCACTTTATTGCTCAGGTTCACTAGAATTAAGGAAAAGTACATTGGAAAAAAAAAGTAATATTGACTAGGGGTACTGGTTGAATTATCTTCCCCCCAAATTCACGTCCTTTGGAACTTGTGCGTGTGGTCATTTTTGGAAATAGGGTCCTGAGTAGATGTAATCAAGTTAAGAAGAGGTCATACTGGAGTAGGATGGACCCTAATCCAGTGACTCATGTCCTTATAAGAAGAGGGAACTTTGGACACAGACACACAGGGAAAATGCCATGTGACTTTGGAGGCTAAGATTGGAATGATGTTCATAAGCCAGTGAACGCCAAAGATTGCCAAAAACCCAGAAGCTAGGAAGAGGTAAGGAAGTCTCCTTCCCTACAGCCTTTAGAAAGAAAATGGCCCAGCTGACACCTTGGTTTCAGATTTCTGTTCTCCAGAGCAGTGAGACAATGTATTTTTCTTGTTTTAGCTACTCAGTTCATGGCAATTTGTTACAGAGGCCCTAGGAAACTAGTAAACTAATAAAATACCTTTAGCACACACTAAAGTCTGGGTTTTTAGTTCTGTTTAATTGGTATGTCTGCTTATTCTTATGAGAACATCACATTGCTTTAACTGTTTTGCTTCTTAATATTTTAATACATGGTTAAGTAATTCTCTCTCAGTAGTCGTCAATATTTTCTTGACTGTTATCGCTAGCTTATTGTTTCACAACATTAGACTCACTTAAGACAACATCCAGGGAGCTTTTAAAAAACTTTAAGTGGTTTGATGAATTTTTCTTTAGCATGTTATTCTTAATTTTTAAGATTTCATTGTGATCAGAGAGAATGACACTTGCAGTTCCTACTTTATGAAATTTATTAAGCTTTATTATTTGACAGTATTGACATATGTTTTTTGGGGTGGGTATTTGAAAAGAAGGTGTATCTTTTCTTGAAGGACACAGACTAGATTCATTACTGATAAGTGTATGATTTATTCAGACCCCACTTTGCACCCTTGTTTCTTATTTCCCCATTCTCTTAAAAATAGTGAGGTGAGTAAATATCTCCCAATATGACTGATTTTGCTAAATCTTTAAATTTTGGTTTATGTATTTAGATACTGTATTATTTAGTGCATAATACTGGTGGCATTCATTTTGAATTTTGCTTTTTAATCACTAGAAGATATTTATCTTTGCTTGATTAAAGGCTCATTGGCTTGAATTTCACTTTGTTTGCTATTAATATCATCAGTGTCTTTCTTTTCTGTTAACATTTGTTTACCGTTGTCTATTCTTTCATGTAGATTTTTCCATTGTATATTGTTTTTAATTATCAAAGAAATGCATTTAGTCATTGTCTTGAAAATGTAAATGACATGAGGAGTATGTAGAGAAAAAGTCTGAAAATTCTCAGTTCATCAACCATCTACTGCATGCTCCATTGCAATGCTAATCATCTCCCTGCAAATAACTAATATTAACAATTTGGTGGGTATCTTTTTAGATAATTTTCTATTTATTTACCACTTTATCTAGACAATTAGAAAATAAAACTAGATAATAAAACTAAACTAAACTAAAATAATAATAAAACTAAAATAAAATCAATATTATATATAAAATAAATTTACAAGTTTATATTATAAATAATAAACACATAAATAGGAGCTTTTACATGCATTTAATCATACTGCTCCCACTTCTATATAGTATGATGGAGCTAGAGGCAGACCAGGGAAGATTAACTCTGGCTCACCAAAAGCAAATCTGGCAGCTGCATAAAACATAGCAATAATTTCTTAGAAGTCAGAGGAGAACAATTTAGACAATTTGAGCCAGAGGGTCCAATTCTTCAGGGAAGGGGAAAGCTCTAAGACATGAGTCAACCTCTGTAGCTTTTCCCCTTTGGGCATTTGCTAACTGGGGGAATAAACAGAATGTGGACTTACCACCTACAAGAACCACTTCTGAGGAGTGAAGGTTTATATGGACTTACTGGAGTTTCAGGCATATTACCAACTGAGGTGTGTAGACTTGTGACTTGGGGCAGGGGGAGGGTGGTGTTTCAAGTACATGGGTAATTTTTCTCTTAAGACACTTGCTGAATATTCGATCTGGGTGATCTGCTTTTCCAAAAGTCATTTTACAATAATATAAGTTAACTATACTTGAGTAGGTGATGTGTTTGGGGCATAAGACACTCAGAAAGACTTCACTTAGGGCTTTCTACCACCCAGCAGGATCCTATGCCATAGAGGGCTTACAGGTAATTTTGTTCCCTTTATTCAGCGGTACTGCTTTGCATTCCCTCTAGCAGTGCATGAAAATGGCCTGGTCTGTTCTGCTGTCATAAACATCATGTGGCTGCAATGTGCCCTCAGTTGTCTAATAATGATCAGGCACTATACATACACAGCTGCATTTGTAATTTAATGATCCAGTTTGCAGACACATGCTATCACTTACCTTTTGCATCCAAAGACCCAAGAGGCCATGGTCTACCGCAGTTGAACACAGGATCTTCTTAAAATCAAACAGACAAACCAACTTGTCTTTATTTGTAGTTTTGTTCCCTATTTTCTATTTTATTGGTTTTCACAAGGACTCAAATTTTAAGATTGCTTTTTTGTTTTCAGTTTTATCAGTTTCTGCTTTAATCTTTAATAGCTGCTTCCTTTTATTTATTTAGACTCTTTTAAAAGCTATTTTGATAATTTATTGTTTATTGTGGTTAAAACCACATAACATAAAATTTACCATCTTAACCATTTTTAAGTGTACAGTACAGTAGTGTTAACTATGTGCACATTGTTGTAAAAGGGATCTCAGGAACTTTTTCATCTTGCAAAACTGAAACTCTATACCTGCTGAAAAACAGCTGTCTCTTTCCCCTTGAGCAACCTCTGATAACCACATTCTATTTTTCATTTCTTTTGAGTTTGACTACTTTAGATACCTCATAAATGGAACCAGGCAGTATTTGTCTTTTTGTGACTGGCTTATTTCACTTAACATAATGTCTTCAAGATTTATCCATGTTGCAGTATGTGGCACAATTTGTGTCTTTTTAAAGGTTGAATAATATTCCATTGTATCCTATATGTTTTTTAACCATTCATCCATTGGTGGACATTCAGATTGCTTTCATTTCCTGGCTATTATGAATATTGCTACAATGAACATGTGGGAGTGGGATTACTGGATCATGTGATAATTCTATTTTTGATTTTTTGATGAAACTTCATACTGTTTTCCATAGTGGCTGCCCCAATTTACATCCCCACCAAAAATTAAGTGTTCAACTATTTCCACATCCTTACCAGCAGTTATTTTCTGTTTTCTTGATAGTGGTTATCCTGATGGATATGAAGTGATACCATATTGTGATTTTGATTTGTATTTCCTTGATAATTAGTGATATTGAGTATCTTTCATTTTCATTTGTTTATCTTCTTTGGAGAAATGTCTATTTAAGTCCTTTGCCCATTTTTAAAATTGGGTTGTTTGTTTTTTGTCATTGGATTGTAGGAATTCTTTATATATCCTGGAGGTTAAACTCTTATCAGATACATGGTTTGCAAATGATTTTCTTATTCCATAGGT